AAAAGAACTGAAAACTTATATCCACACAAAAACACATAGATATTTATAGAAATTTATTCATAATTTCCAAAACTGTACCAACCAAAATGTCCTTTGGTAGGTGAATGGATGAATGAACTCTTGTACTTCCAGATAAGGGAATATTTCCAGACCTAAAACAACAAGAGGGTGCCCTCCCTGGTGGCGCAAAGGGTTAGGACGCTAGCTGCAGTTGCTTCAGTGCGAGTTCGATCCCTGCCCCAGAGGTGACCCACATGGCGCAGTAGAACTCTACCTCCCCCCGTTACTCCTCTCAGCAGTGTTCTTCCTGGATCTGCCTACTCTGCTCCCCATTCTGTCTCTGCACCCCTGCACCTCTGGCTTGTACCCCACTTCTGTAAGCAAAAATAAATAAATCTTAAAAAAAACAAACAAACAAGATTTATGAAGCCATGAAAAGATATGGATTCCAGTGTGCATATTACCAAGTAAAAGAAGGTCACATGAAAATACTATATGTATTGTAAGCTCCAGCTAAGTAACATTCTGGAAAAGGTAAAACTATGAAGACTAATAAAATTAGAGGTTGCTCCAGGGAATTAAAGGAGGAGATATGCAAAAGGATATTTATGACAATGACACACACACACACACACACACACACACACATATATATAGAGAGAGCGTGAACCCTAATATGAAAGATGAACCCTAATATGAAAGATGAACCCTAATATGAAAGATGAATTTTGGGTATTAATGTGTCCATGTAGGTTCATTGAATATCATAAATGTGCCACTCTGGTGAAGTTTATTCATGATGAGGAATACTATGCCTGAGTTAGAACAAGGGTTTTATAGGAAATCTTCCTCTTTTTGTATAATTTGGCTGTGACCCTAAATTACTCAAAAAGTAAGATACATTTAAAAGGAAAAATATCACTGTAAATAAGGGCAAAACTATCCACCACAGTATCATCAGATTTTTTTTCCAATGATTCAAAAGATATAAGGATTCAGCCAATTTGGAAGGCCTAAGTTTCAGTTTGGTGTTTGGGTTTGCAAGTCACTCCAGATTGAGTTTATTTTTCACAGTATTGTACACAGTGATTTTACGGTGCCACACTTACTCCTCCTGCCCCTTATTCCCTGACTTCCGCTGACACTTTTACTATTTCCATAGTTTTGTCTTTTTCCATATCAGATAGTGATGTCATAGACAGTTTCTTTTACTTAGTGATATGCATTTATGATTCTCACATGTCTTGAGGCCTTGATAACTCTTTTCTTGTCAGTGTTGAATCATATTCCACTGTGTGCATATCATAGTTAATCTATTCAACTGTGGAAGGACATCTTGGTAACTTCCAGAATCACTAGAAATGCTACAAACTTCCATGTACAATTTTTTTGTATAGATGTAAGTTTTCAGTCATTTAAGTAAAGGATTATAGTTGCTGGACATTATGGTATCTATGTTTAGCTCTATAAGTAACTGCTATACTGTCTTCCAATGTGGCTATACCATTTTATATATCCACCAAAAATCCTGTTGCTCCACATTATCACCAGCATAGGGGTGCATCCATGTTCTGAAATTAGACCATTCTAACAGTTTCATAGTGATAGCTCACTGCTGCATTGATTTGTAATTCCCTGTGACATGTGAAGTGGATCACTGTGTCATATGCCTATTTGCCATTGTTTTTCTTTTGGTGAGGTGTCTGTTCAAATCTTTTGTGCATTTATAATTTAGCTGTTCATCTCCTTATTTTCAAGAAGGCACTGTAAATGATTCATTAAAGAGTACTCAATTCACATAACCATGAATTCCATAACCTTGAACATTCAACACAGAAGATTAATGTTTACAATTTGAAGCAAGAGAATATTCAAATGCTTAATGATTACAGCATTTTTTTAGTTTATAGACAAGAATACTGGATAAGTTTGCAGCATAGGTTTTACAGATTTGGAAAAGTCCAGGATCAATAGGTAAAGATGAAGCATCTAGGAGTTGAGTCAAGGAAGAACCTGAAAAACTCAGAGGAAGTTGTGTGAACACTTGGAGTTAGGGGAAGAAGGTAAGAGTTACCATTGCCAGATGTGTGAAAGGGAATGAATAAATGTGAATAGTTATGTTCCCCATGAAATCAACTCAGCAACACCCCAGTCAAACTTATTTCTCCTGTATTTCTCTTCCTGCATCCTCTATCTCGATCAATGGTGTCTTCATCTATTCAAAAGGGACACAGTGGTAAGATATTTCTGCATTCTTTTTCAGTATAGGAAGACCTTACAAAACCTTTGGGAAGTCCCCTATATAAGGTTCGTAATGGTCTCCCTCTGTTTGCAAGTGATCCCTTCCTTTCTTTCCTAGCTCTGACTCTCCGGCAATGAAGAACCCAGGCTCCCCTGCTGGCAAGTTTAATGCTGGGTCAAAGAGCCAATGGCCAAGGAGATCAGAGGAAGAAGGGAGGGAAGGAAAGGTCAGGGTGTTTATTTCCTACTTCTGCTTCAACCAGGACATGGCAATGCAGCCTCCCTCCACTAGGGGTCTCTGTGCACAGCGCCAGCTCCCTGGGCTGGGGTGAGGCCACTCCTCCCACTGCCTTGGGAGGCGTGGGGAGGGAAAGGCTCCCTGGGGCTGCTCTCCAGCAGCTGGCCCCCAACCCTGAAGATCCCTTCACTGGGCCCACAGCCTTCTCTGAAGTCCCTCCACCAAAGCGTCTTGAGTTGAGACACAGGAGTGCAACTGTGACCCTGCCAGACTCCAAAAGGGGGGCTGAGACACCATGTGACACCCCCACAAAATCATTTCTCCATCTTACAGGAATCAGGTAAGAGCAACATGTGCCTATCGTCTACTGCTCTCAAGCAAATGATGCCACAGCCCATCGGTCTCTTTTAGATAGCAGCTGCCGGGATGGAAGACAGTTATTCCACCTGCAAATTCTTCATCAGAACATCAGTATCTTTATAGAAGTGTGTGTGTGTGTGTGTGCACGTGTGCACGCGTGCATGCTCATGTGTGTGCATGGTAACTGAGGGACAATTTGTCCTACAGATAGCAGCTGCCGGGATGGAAGACAGTTATTCCACCTGCAAATTCTTCATCAGAACATCAGTATCTTTATAGAAGTGCGTGTGTGTGTGTGTGCACGTGTGCACACGTGCATGCTCATGTGTGTGCATGGTAACTGAGGGACAATTTGTCCTACAGTTTGCAACTATAAGAACAGTTTATGACTGAGTGTTACGATGGGCCCTTTAATACCTGTCCTCAGAGGAATTTTCAATGCTAAAAACTGTTGTGGGCTGGTGTTCCCAGGTGTTTAACACAGCCCAGATATTCTTCTCTTCCAGGGGATCCCAATTATGAGTCACTTCAACTTCAAGACCTACCATTTTCAGGCAGAGGAGAAGTGGCAGCGGTTAGAAATGGCACAGGGCATACTCAGTCTGGGACCCTGGGCCTGAAAGGGATGTAGAAAGACTGCAGCCCCCTGCTGGGTCTCCCGTCCTTGTACGAGGTGGTGTAGGGAAAGATTCTTATTGATGAATTGCCGTCATAAACAGAGTCAAGCATGTACATATATGAAAGGGTAAAAGTATCATTGAGAGTCAGACAAGACAGCCGTCTCCCCATGGCCGAGGCCTTGGAGATTTAAGAGGCCAGTGGCCCAGGCAAAATGGACAATTGATTGCATTATTTTTATATCCAGTCAATATACCAAGACCAAGAAGAGTCAAAGAGACATTTACTAGCAACTTTTTATATTTGAACTTTCTCTTTTCCCCTTTCTCACCTCCTCTCATTTTCTACAGCAACCAGATGACCACAGGGTCCTTGATGTGGTTTTCACAGAGGAACAATAGCGGTGCCCTTCTGAGCTGGTCCTGGACACTCAGCTGAGCGATGTTCATTGGAGGGGAAAGGTAGCACCAACAGGGTCTCCCTCACGGGCCCCATGAAGAGGAAGGAGATATCCACGTTCTCTCCCTGGGGATTTGTGGTTAGATCCAGATGCACATAGCCATTTTCCTGGGACCCTTGGGGATTCTCATCACCTAGGCCAGAGAGGTAATGGACAGATCCTCTTGGCAAAACTATGGAAGGCACATCAGTGGGAGCTGCCTTTTTCTGCTGGGACTCTTCCACCTTGGGCAGGTGTGCAGGGTCTTGGTTAGCAGCAGAGTTTTCAACACCAGGAGCAGGAGTCTGAAATAAGAACACTTTCAAATAAGAGATTGGCCTCCCCATTTTAAATCCTTGCTATATCTGTTACCAGGTTAAGCTATTCTCTGCCTTCTTGATGGGTCTCTGGTTAAAGGGTTAAAATGTAAGCCCAGTTAGGGCCAGGGGAACCAAGACCTGGAAAAGCTTGATGGCAAGTTATGCAGACTCAGAGCTGACAGTGGGCCAGGGAGGCACAATGACTTGCTCAGTCCCCAGTGAGCTGCCCTCTGTTCCCAGAAAAGGCAGCAACAGCCACCTCTAATTAATGGTTTCATTTATCTTTGTTTGGAATTTAAGTACAATGCTCTCTGCTCAGGTCCTTACACTTGTTTTTCATAGGCTCTGAATGAGGGAGCTGTTGTGATCTCATGCTATAGAAGTACCCCAGTCTCACATTGGCAACTCTTGTCCATGATCACACAGCTCACAGCTGGGAGGACTGGAGCCCTGGTGTCCCATCTCAAGTATCCCCTCTACTACACTATGCTTACTACACCTGTTATGTGCTAAGTAAATACTGTGGAATATATTGAATATCTCTTGGACACAACGAACCCAACAGGTGTGCATAAGGGTATTTGGGAAACTGAACTTAATGCTGCAGAGGCCTGAGTCATCCCAGCTAGTAGGTCCCTCTTTCTAAAGGAGTCTTCTTTATTCTGCAGACAACATTGTTTCTAAAACAAAGCCTGGTAGATCTTTTACCAGCTACCTTGTGGGTATGGCTTTAGGGCTTCATGAGTAAAGTGGTAATCATGGATTTTAGGGCGATGATAGGTAAGGTGAGGTAGGCACAGCTAAAGATAAATCAATCTTCTATATATTTATAGGTAATTTACATACTTATAGATAAATCTGCATTTCTTTCTCAGCAAGACAAATATATTACAAAGTACCTGTGATTCAAAGAAGTCACATGTTACAGAGACAATCTTTTCTACGCCATTTGGTTTCAGAGAACCTTTGCAAAGGCCAACAGCCTAAGGAAAGAGAAAATACAATGTTGTATATTATGAGTATCTATTTCTTTAAATGGAAAACAGTTTGGTTTTTGCTCATGAAGATGTACAATCAATCTATTTTAATGCACTTATATGCAAAAGGCAGGCTATGTGTTAAACTCTCACTAAATAATCCTTAGCACATAATGACATAAAATAGACTAAATTGCTCAATGATGAGAAACTAAGTGTTTCCTGATAAACAACCTCTGATTATTAGAATTTATGGTGTAGGAGAAAATCTGTGTGACTTCTGCCTTTTGACTTCAAGAGCACTGAAAAGTAATGATCTGGAATCCACCAAAATGTGTTTAAACATATGGCCATACTAATACTCTGTCTCCAGATCATATAATGAGGAGATTAGAAATTTTTCAGGCATGAAAAGCCATTAAAGTAGGAAGTCTGGGCCTCCCCTGGTGGCACAGTGAGTTAAAGCACAGCACTAAGAAGCTAAAGCCACTTCAGCATGAATTCAATCCCCACCCGGGAAGTGACCCACAGGGTGAGGCAGAACTCTCCTGACCCGCCCGCTGCTCCCCTCAGCAGTGTGTTTTGTCAGTAGGCCTGTTCTGCATCCCACTCTGTCTCTGGTGAGTCCTCTCACCTCCCCTACCCCTCTCTCCTATACCCCAGTTCTGTATGTAAATCAATCTTTAAAAAAATATAGGAAGTCCTTGGGGGATGGGACATAAGCCTTTTCCTTCTCCTCTTCATAACCAAATCACACAGGGGAAGGGCTCTAAGAGAAGATGCTGAGAGAACCAGATACCACACTAAGTGCAACCTAGCCACTCCCATTCTGTCCAGGATTTAGTGAGTCACCAAAATTCATAGATTTAACTGTTGAACTAAACGTGAACCATAGAGTTTGGGAGCATATAGGTTATAAATGGAGATTAGTACGTTTCTCTCTCAGAACGTTTTGAGATCAAGAACCTGGTTAATTAGTCTACCTTAATATTTAAGTGGAGAGAGTACAAAAAGGAAGGCTATTTCTAACTCTGCTATCGTAGAAATATGCAAGGGTTCCATGGAAAAACAAATGTCATGGTACAGCTATGTTGCTAGTAACTACCAGTGGATGATCTTCCAGAGAATAAATAGGGGGAATAAATAGATAACACAGGGGAGGTTCCAAGGAGTCAGCTATAGAATACATTAACCTGTTAAGAAAAGATGAACCAACACCTGTATCACTTGAGAGGACCAGCAAGAGCGTATTTCATAGAGAGCTTATGTAGAGCAAGAGTATGTTGTAACTACAAGTTTGTTATATGGAAAGACCTTACACTCTTATCTCTAATCTTCTCATTCTTCTCAGAACTTGGGAGAGCAAAAGTAAGCAAAAGGTGGGAGAGAAGAAGAAAATATGAAACAGAACTTGACTCCTTCTTTAAAACAGATTGTAAGTTCTACATCCACCTTGAACTACAGAGGGAGAAATATCTTGATTGGATAAGAAATAAATGTTTTGATTTAGAATTGACTGAAGAAAGCGTTTTTCATATATGAAAGTTTATCTTAAGTTACCTAAGTGAAATTTTATTCTAGAAATGACTAGAAAGTGATGGGATTTGCTCAAGATGTTATGGGTACATGAAAAAGGCCACACAGAAGAGAGTGAAGAAATGTCCCTAATTATTTCTTGAACAAATTGAGAACATTCAATTGACTGATTATGAAGACTTTTTGAGACTACATTTTAGATTCAAACTTACACACACACGGCTTGAAAGTAAAAACAATGGCAAGAATATACAATGCAACAGTAAAAAAAAAACAAAAAAAAACCTGGAATGGTTATACAAGTATCAGGTAAAACTGACTTGAAAACTTGTAACTAGAAACAGTGAAATATACCTTTTATAATAATAAATATTTCAGCTTATTAGGAAGACATACAGTTTTAAATATATATGCTAACAACAAAGCAAAAACTGAGAGCATTCAAGGGACCTGTAGACATAGCTACAAAAATAATTGGAATATCCAGTTTGAATAAAAACAGAATAAGTATTTAGAACCTCAAGAAGGAAACAGAAATCTTGAATAATAGTATAAGCCAACTAAAGTAGCAGCAGCAGAATATATACTCCTGAAGTGGACATGAATACTCTCCAAGATACACTTTTTCCTAAGGTGTAATATAAAACAAGCCTCAGTAAAATTAAAAGACTTGCAGTTATGCTAAGTGTTCTCCAACCACAATGAAATAGTAATAGAAATGAACAACAGAAAGAAATAAGAAGTTCACAAATATGTGCAAATGAAAAAATATGGCCCTAAAACACCAATTGATGAGAGAAGAAATCACAAAAGAAATCAGAAAATACTTTGAGCTCAACATTCACAACTTCTAAGGTGGATCTAAAGCATTGCTGAAGAGAAAAGTTTCTAGCTGTATAATCCTTACGTTAAAAAAGAAAATTAGTGGCCCTCCCTGGTGGCGCAGGCCACTTCAGCATGAATTCAATCCCCACCCGGGAAGTGACCCACAGGGTGAGGCAGACCTCTCCTGGCCCGCCCGCTGCTCCCCTCAGCAGTGTACTTCGTTGATCTGCCTGTTCTGCCCACTCTGTATCTGGTGAAGCCTCTCACCACCCCTGAGCCTCTGGCCTGTACCCCAGTTCTGTATGCACAAATAAATAAATCTTTTTTTAAAAAAGAAAGAAAATTAGTAATCAGTAACTTAAATTTCTCAGTTAACAATCTAGAAAAAGAAAAAATTAAGCCCAAAACAGGAAAAATAAGGCAATAATAAAGAATAAGGAAGAAATAAATGAACCAGACAATGAAAAGAATAGAGAAAATAAAACTAAAATTTGAGGGTTTTGTGGAGATAATAAAATCGTCTAAACAGTAGCTAGACTAACAAAGGTAAAGTTACTCAAAATGCTAATGCTGGAATGAAAGATGAAACATTACTACCAATCTTTCAGAAATAAAAAAGATTTCAAGGGACTAATAAGAATAACTTATGGTTCTTATAATGGTAGCAAATTAGATATATTCCAAGGAGAAGAAATACAATAAAAAAATTGAGGAAAACTAGATAATCTAAACAGAACTATATAAAACAATGAGCCAGATTTTTTTCATGGAAACAATTTTTTCATAAAGAGAAGTCCAAGCACAGATGACTTTTCTGATGAGTTCTAGCAAATATTTAAAGAAGAACAAACACACCAAGCCTGCAGAGTCTCAAAAATAAAATAGAAGGGGGAAAATTTGCTTAAGTCATTCCATAAGGTGATTATTAAACTCATTGAAATCAGGCAGAGGCCACATCAGAAAACTAAAGACCAATATCTCTAACGCATATATTTGAATAAGCGTAAAACAAAAATGCTGGTAAAGTGAATTCAGCAACATTTTTAAAGGATTATACACCATGACCAATTGGGATTTATCTCTGAAATGCAGTATTGTTTTGACACATGAAAAACAATCAATGTAATATATAATGCTCACATATTAAAAAAGGAAAAATCACACAATTATCTCACTAACTAGAAAAAGCAGTTAAATATTGCAGCACTGTTTCTTGATAAAAGCATTTAACAAACTGGGCATAGAAAAAAACTTGCAAATCTAATAAAGGGTATGGAAAACCTACAGTAATCATTTTATTGAATGATGAAATGCTGAATGCTTCCTTCCTAAAACCTGGACTAATATAAGGTGTCTACTACCCCCACATCTAGTCAACATTATACTGAAAGTTCTAATCAAGGAAATAAATCAAGGAAAAGAATTAAAATGTGTGTAGATTGGAAAGGAAGAAGTAAAATATCAATTTGTAGATGGCATAATCTTGTATATAGAAAATCCCAAGGATACAGTAGAAAATGATGAAATGAACTCAGGATACAAAATAAATATGAAAATTAAATTTATTTCTACACATTTGCAATGAACAGCCCACATGAAACTAAAGAAATCATTCCATCACATTACTACCTGAAAGAATAAAATATTTAGGTTCACAAGTGAAAAATCTATAGGCTGAAAACTACAAAATATCATTGAAAGAAATTAAGTAAGTTTGGGAAATGTGGTAAGAGCTATTTTGTCCTCATGTAGACTTTTTTAAGGTTAATTTTTCTCACTTTGATAGATCTCATCATAATTCAACTACAATTAGGCCTCTACAGCTAAGCCTCTATTTCACATACAGTCTTCCAAATGTAACTGAATTTTTTCACATAAAATCAGAACCATTAAGTCTGAGTCTTCTAAGATCTTTCTTTTCCAAAGGTGTCACATTGTTGATGAAAGTTAACAATCAAATAAAACCTTAGTAATTCTGAAGGCCAGCATCTCTAACTAGTCATTCCTTGAAGTGAACAAAAGCATCTCATGCAGTATAAAACCTCATGAGTAATTTATACTAACAGAAGCATAATAAATATTTCTCATGTGTGAATGCAAATCTTAAATTCTGAAGAAATTCAGATACTCACCTCTGAGAAAGATAACTGAAGTGTGCAACTGGCCTGGGATTTGGTACAAGGTGCTTCTCTGATTAAATATTCCACAAAGTATGAAGGTCCATCCACCCACTGGATGAGATAGCGATCAAGAAATGAAAATCAGACTTTACATGTGGAGAAAGTTGGCATGTTGGCCATGATACGAACAGAACTGTACACCCCCAAGTGTGGTTAGCCCAGGTATCCCAGAGTCCCTGTAAACCCATCACCATCAAAACATGCAATGGATTCTGATCTGTAGAAAACAACCACCATACCTTCCTTCCCTTTAAAAGATACAAATAGGCTCTAAAAGCCTTCACTTGAGTGACCTTATTTCTTCTCAGGTAAATTTGTTTTTAGATGAGTTTTCCTCACTTCCATAGATAGTAACATAATGCCGACACAATTGAGCCTTCATTGCCCTCTGCACCCACTCCCAAGCCTAACATGCCCAGAAGCTGACTTGCTAAATGTTCCATGGTCACTCAGATCTGAAATGTAGCAATAAACAGTGACCCCAAGTAGAGAAACCCAGAGACCAGGAGTCCATTTCCCTCCTTGCTTTAAGGTCAATGAAATAAAAGGAGTCACACGCATGTGGAAAGCCCATGAATAACTCAGACCCTGAAACACGATTGTGCGTGCATCAGGTGTTCCAGGAAGAACTGGAGAGGCTGCTGATCAAAAGGCCTCCAAGCTTCAGCTCCAAGGCCACATTAGGGGGATTCACCACTGGTGTGATTGCTGTGAGCATTCATTCTCACCTGGCTAGAAGCCCTGGTGATTTCGACCAGAGAATACTGCTTCAAGGTGCTCTCACTGTTGTATTTTGCAAGAGACTCACTGGCAGCTTCCAAAACCTTGGGATCTGACAGTTGAATGATGCGGGGGCAGTCAGGGCAGATTCCGCGAGTGTTTCCTTTAAAAACTGTTGATTCGAAAGAGAACACTTTTGAAACAAAGCTCCTTCATGATTTTTAATTTTGCTATCCATATAAACACAACTGAGGCAAAAATGGGGGGGGGAAGATAATATGAAGTTTCAGCAAAGATGCAATGACAAAAATATTTTCTGGATAGGAATCTGGATAAAAAATGAATTCTCTACTATGCACATGTGTTGCTTTTATAATTAAACAATGGTAATAGTTTCTTACTTCACATAAATTTATTTACTCTAGAAATTTTATTCAAAAGCACATGATATATGCATTTATATTGATATAGACATTTTTTTTCCCAGTTAGTTAATATCTCCTAAAAGCATCACCTGTAAGTGAGATGGAAACTTGGGGTTTCATTACTGTCATGTCTTACTTACATTTTGATGCCCAGCACCAAATATAATATCTAACATGTCCCATGCTTATCAAATGCTCATTGAGTGAGTGAGTGACCTAACACAAGGTGGATGCATACCTTCTTTGGTAGAAAATGCAAGTGAACCAACATGAAAAATATTGGTCAAATCACCATGATACTGAATAGTATAATTATACTAATGGTGCAGTTAGAATTTCTGATCAGATGGAAATGGGGCTGGCAACCCCTATGTGCCCGTGGGCCAGGGAACTTATCCAAAGTTGTTTTTTTTGCAAGACCAACATGTTGTTTTGTCAACTGAAACCATCCCTAAGTGTCACTTCCTCAATTCCCATTCCTTCAGTGCCTTACATTCTGACTATGTGTTAGTAGTTGTTCTCTAATTTATTTTTAGGAAATTCGTATTTCACAACCAGGAAGTTAAACTGTGGTAAATAAAATGTTTGCTTTGTTGCCTTGTCCCTCCCAGTAACCAGCAGCACTTTCAACACCTGAAGCTTGTTTCAGATGCAGACATTCAAGTCCCATCCCAGACACAGAGAACCAGAATCTGCACTTGAACATGATCTCACAGGGGAAAGTCATGCACATAACAGCTTGACAATCAGTCATATCCTGTTTCCTATACCATGGAAGCTACTTTCCCAAGCAGGACCCAGAACAATGGTCGTATGTATAGCAACAACCATGAGCTTCACCCTCATCCTAGAACATTTATACACTTAAGTAAGTGTAGGCATTAATGACAGACTTCTTACATGTGACAGTGATGAAGAAATGATATTTTTTCATGCTATATAAAGAAGAAAATGAAGTAAACCAAAACATATTGTAAACTCCAGGAGTGGTTGGGTTAAAGGTTTACAGGGATGTAGAGAGGACAGCACCAGTCATTTCCGGAATAAGGAACATTGTGGAAGGAGCTGCTGTGTCAGTGTTCCTCACAGATGGACATGTGCTCCGTGACAGGCTATCAGGGGAGGCTCCCCTCAGCAGGGTCACGTGAGCAAGGGGCACAGGCTGGAAGCCATAAGGTGTGTTCAGAAAACAGGGAGGCACCCAGCTGTGTGGAGTGCAGAGCGGTGGGGTCGGAGAGAATCTCTGCACACATGGCGAGAAAGGCCAGCTGGCACCCGATGTAGAAATTAGGACGTTTGTATCAGACCAGGAGTTAGGATTTCATACAGTCCCAATGCTGAGTAATTATTATCGCAGATGACATGTGGAGGTGGGAAGTGCCAGTGCTGGATATAGTAGGAACGTGGATAGTAAGGAAAGGAAAAGTCTTAGGCATGTGGGCACTGACCTCTTAAAATGCTTTTTGTCCATATTTTAATAAAATGAACAAAATCAAGTTGATCTCTTACCTGGGCGAAGAGTACAGTTATAAGAAAGTGTATGGAGAATTCTTGCTGTCCTGTGCATATAAAATAATGCTTTGCATTGACCATAAACCTGGAACAAACACAAGCATTTTATAACATGGAAGAAGAATCTAAGACTTAAAAAAAAACAAATTGAACATTTTTAAATGCTGAAAAGCTGAAGGACTATTCCGGTGGCTCTGACTGTGG